AATGAGCTTCGCGACAATTCCGAGAACAGTAATAAGTAAAGCAGTTATGACACATTTTGTAATACTTCTTTGCTTCTTTCAACTCCTTTATTTTTCCACAAGCCTTGAACCGACATCTAATCATTACGACAACGTCCGAAACTTCGTCCATCATTTCACGTGTCGAGACACTGTAGTTGTCATCCGAACTCATCGACTCGTAATTTTTCCGACGAAATGAAATGTCTTTATGCGTCCGTAACTCGTTCTTGGTCAGCCCGTCGAAGAAAATTTTCTCGTTCGAAGAAACCGACGACGCAATAAAGCTAGCCGAGAGGCCATCTTGCGAAGCCGAGGGCATCAGTCGGTCGACCGAACAGTTCAGGCTTCTCGCGCTTCGGACATTTCCATTTATGGACTGAGATTGCACTTCGAAATCTTCGTGGAGAGATTGCAAGTCGTTCAACGCTTTTGAAATTGCCTTTCTTTCTCGTGTTTCTTCGTCTTTTGTAATTGCAATTACGACGTTATTCGACGACTCGGATTTTACGTAGGGATAAGCTTCGGCTAGTGAAGTTCTTCTTCTATCTTCTTCTGTAAGCTCGTTTGTTATCAGCACTTTCGGAATGACTTTCTTTCGGCCATGAGTAAGAGTCGAGTCGTTCATAGAAACCAAGTCGGTAGAAGCAACCGATTCCATCGTCGCGTTCAGGATATGTCCATTTTGGGTAATTTTGAAGCCATCTTTTGGGTGAAATGGTCGATTTGGTAGAGTGGATTTTAGACCGTTCACTTTTCTGGGCGTCCCTGATGTTATAACCTTCCGTCTGCTACTAACTGGAGTTCGTTCAGAAAGGTTATTATGTTTAGGTTCGTTAGTAGAACAGACAGAAGTGTTATTTAGACTGTTAATAAAATCATTATACGAGTTGGGCTGAAAATTTGCCGACACAGTTGATAAGTTGAAACTATTATTTTGAAGGCTACTTAAATTCAAGTCAGTGTTTGCAGACCCGCGGCCGCTATCGGGCGGAAGCCCGTTGAATTGAGGCCCATTTTTATCAGAGTTATAATCAGTCAAGTTATCATAACTATGACGTAATTTTCTCTCCATGGGCTTTTCGGATGGTTCCGGATAACCACTTTGAGTTAATTCTGATTTCAGGGTTTCTTCAACAGATGCTGAAGGAGTAAGGCTGAAATGATCACAATTTGAGTTAAAGTTATTGTTTTCTTCACTAAATTGTTCACTTATATTTTCTGAAGATGTATTGTTTTTTACCCGTAAATGAGTGCTGCTAGCAGATATTTTTTCTTCGGCGTATAGCTCCGACTTCAGATTGTGTTCTCCAATTTGATTGGCTGAGGCACTACGCAGCTTCTGATTGGTTAAAAACTCGTCCAATAGGAGTTCCTGCTCAGCCAATTTCTCGTCCTCCGACTCAGCGATGCTTTCCAACGAGCTCTCCGACCAACTCAAGTGTCGGAATCTTCCTGGACTCCGATGCCTGTTTGACAACTTCTGTTTGCGGGATCTGTTAGCCCTCCTCGGATTCTTCTCGAATTTTCTACAAGCTTTTGTTATTTTCTCTACTCCGCGAGTTGACTGATAAAACGCCTCGGTTAGAGCTTCCTCTTCTCGGTCAAATTCTTCATTTTTATCGATATACCAAAGATGCGAGAAAAAAATGACGATTAAAGTTGTGATAACGGCCGACAGAAATTTGAAAAACGATTCATTTCCTTCGAGCTCAGGTGACAAACTTTCAATCACAGCTGAATCATGTCTTTCAAACGATGAATGGTGCATGTGTTGGTGTTGGCTTTGTTGATTAAATGCGTTTTGAACAAAACTGCTTTCTTGGCTCTGAGACGAGCTAAACAAATTTGCACTGTTTATTCGTGGTTCTGCCATATAGAGGTATTGGAGGTCCAAAGCCGCTGATTTTTGGCTACTTTTACGAGCAGTTGTTAAAAATAATTACAGTTTTTTACCAGTTTTACGTTCAAAATCTATCAAACGTACAACAGTGGTATGTTAAGCGTGGTCTTTAAGTACTTTGGTCGATGCTGGTTTTACAATATGAAACGAAGACATGATTTTGTTTGTAAAATCGTTTTTGCTGCTTTTCATGTATCGATGTTGATTTTTGCTGACAAGTAATGATTGGCGGTGCGATGCTTTGAGAATCCAAACAACGTGACAATGTTTCAAAGATTCGTTCTTGTCAGTTTTTGGCTCTGTGTTTTGTAGTGAACGTTTTTGAAGAGTTCTTGAAGAGCTGTGAAGAAAGCTAACAAAGAGCTATTATGTACAGAACGTTTGCAATCTTGATACTTTTTCAAAAGTCTAGATTCGATAATCGATGGAAACAGATAACCAATCTGTCTATCTGCACCCAGCTGATTTTTCAGTCATGATTTGGTCGTCTTAAGTCACATCAAATTGTCTTTACTACCTAAAAAAAATTTCTAATGTATTTTCAGAATTTTTAAAGTTCACTTTAAAACAGTTAATTTCAATTTTCTGGAGTTCCTTTTTCAATTTTTTGGCGTTCCATTCTCATCATTACCAAGCCAACATTGGGTGTATTGGTACTGAATATTCCTGAAACCCAAGATTACGAGGCCAAATTGTGCACTGGATAGGCGCACAATTTTGTGTCTGTATGTTCCTGGATTCCATAGACAAGTCTTCAAGCATGGTAAAATTTTTTCGGAACCATCAAAGAAAATGAAAGAACAAAGGGAGCGTCCTTGTCACGTAATCCGCATACAATGCACGAAATGCACAGTTTAGCCTCGTAATGAAATAATTTGAACCTAATTCCACATAATTTGGCAAAAAAACTTCAAATCAAAGCCATGATGAATTAGTGACGAGTTAATTAAACATCTGGTTATTAAACGTGAAATCTGGACAATGGTTTATCGCTTTGTCAGAGGATTTCATGGAAAAAAACATTATGTCGGAATTTCTTCTTGGCATGATTTGCAATTGGTTTCCATCGCCCATTACATCTTAACCATTGCAAGTCTATGTATTGGAATTCAAAGTCGTGCTGGCACAACTTTAGCAAACGTTATTTGTAACAACAAAAGTCGCACTCTTTGACGCACTGAAAACTATATAATAAATTAACGCAAGGCCATTGTTTCTTCTCAATCTGCGAGTAGTAGGATTGGAAAGAATAGTAAACAAGACTGCTCGTATCAGGGCAAAGCCCTGAATGTTCCGACTGCCTTTTCAGGTTTATCAGACAGTAGTAACATAAAAAATTAAATATAATTAGAAAAAAATGAAAAAATTTTTTTCTAAAATTTGAATTTTTTTTATGAAATCATCCCCCCACACGATATCTAAAAACTAAAAGAATAGATTTTGCTCATTGTAACAAAACATTTATGGCAAATAAGCTTCTTTCAGCCAATTTGGAACGATTTAAAAGACGGATTAAATCCCAGCTTACGCGTTAATAGCCCGAAATATATCGCGCGTTAATTGTCCCAAATTGACCAAAATGGCAATCTTTAAACCCTCATAACTTTACAAAAAATGATCACAGGTGAAATATCTTTTCAAGTTTAAGCTTAGGAAAACAATACTTTTTGAATGATATTAAAAAATTCTGTCAAAAATGGCTAGTTAAAAAGTCGAAATTTGTCTGAAGAAAAAAAAAACCCACCCCGAGCATAAATTTTCCGTCACTTTCGTATCGAAAGTCGGAACAAATAGTTTTTGTGCAAGCCAGCAAAAGTTTCTCCCAGTCTGAAATTATTGAATCACAACAATATTTTTGGTACAGCCGGAATATTTACTAAAAGGGCTATGATGCTGTTTTTGTTCCGATTTTCGATACGAAAGTAACGGAATATTTGTGCTCGGGGTGGGTTCTTTTTTTTCTTCAGACAAAGTTGAACTTTTTAACTAGCCATTTTGACGGAATTTTGTAACATCATTCGAAAGAAATTGTTATTCTGAGCTCACATTTGAAAAATTATTTCACCTGTTTTCATTTTTTGTTAAGTTACGGGGTTTAAAGATTGCCATTTTGGCCATTTTGGGACAATTAACGCGCGATATATTTTGCGAGATTAACGCGTAAGCGGGGAGTTAATCCGTCTTAGAAATCGTTCTTAATTGGCTGAAAGAAGCTTATTTGCCATAATTGATTTGTTAGAAGGAGCAAAATCTATCCTTTTGTAATTTATTTGGCGTGTGGGGTAATGGTTTTCATAAAAAATTTCAAATTTCTGAAAACAAAATTTCATTTTGTTTTATTTCCTTTAATTTTATTCTGTTATAACTGCTCCATAAGCCTTAAAAGGCATTCGGAACATTCAGGGCTTCGCCTTGAAACGATCAGTCTTGTTTTATTTATAAAAACAATTAATTCAATAACTGAATTCAGATGTCAACTGATTATGATTCACTCCACAGTCAACGACTTAGGACTGGTATCAATTTCATAACTTCAAGGGCAAAACTAACTTGGTATGCCGTTCATCATAAGAATACTTAAGACACCTATATGGGTATATGACTTTAGCTTAAGGAGAGTACTATCTTTAAAACCCCGTAACTAAACGAAAAATGATCATAGGTGAAATATGTTTTCAAATTTGAGCTCAGAACAACAATACCTTTCGAATGATAAAAGAAAATTCTGTCAAAAACGGCTAGTTAAAAATTCGAAATTTTTCTGAAGAAAAAAAACCACCCAGAGTACACATTTTCTGTAATTTTCGTAACGAAGGTTGGAGCAATATTGAATTATAATCGGTTATGATAGATTATAATGGAATATTTTTTGTTCAAAAATAATCGATTAAAATGGCAATATAATCAATTTCGTGGTCTGAATTTTACATCTGTAATGGACTATAATGGAATATTTTTGTCTCGGGAATCCATTATAACCGATTAGAATCCCTGGGCGCTCGGTGCGGGATTTAATTTGGAACAATTTTGAGTGTGGGATAATTTGCCAAGCAGTATTCACTCAAATTACTTTCTCAGGATTAAAATTCGCGCATAAAACAGTTCAAAATATTACCAATTTGCCAGTTTTGAGCCTTAGAAATCTAGCAAAATACAGAAATTGGCAAACTAGCAATAAACAGAGATCTGCTGCTACATAAATTGCTCTGAATCTGAAAGAAAATTGTTGCTATGGATGTATCTCTCTGAAAAAAAGCTGTTGCTATGGATGTCTCTCTCTGGAAGAAAGCTGTTGCTATGCTTTCTTGATGTTTCTGCCCTTCTATAAAAAGTTTGAGATATAATTACGAGAGAAAGAATGATATCTGACGCAAATTAAGCATATTGCAGATTCAGAGCTTATTAAAATTAAATCAGTTTACTTTGCATAAACTTAACAAGAGTATCTTGATAAATTCAAAATCAAAATTTACAGGACTGATCGTATCAATGGAAAGCTCCGAACGTTCTGGAGACCTTTTAATTTCTATGGAGTATTGTCCGTTTTTGAAAAAATGATAAAGTTTTCAAAAAAAAACTTTCCTTAGAGATTTTTGAGAAAATTAACCCCTTTATGATATTAAATGAATAAATGCAAATTTTAGCATGTATCAAAGTTTTAAATAGACTAAATAGCATGCCTCCAGTTTCGGTCTAATTTGTAACAAAATCTAACAGGCCAGCTCAAGCTTTATAGGAACGAATTATATCGCGCTAATTATCTCAAAGTGGCTTAATTGGTAACCTTTAAACTTTGCAAAAGTAGATAACAAGTGAAATCTTTTTTTGAATTTGAGCTCATGATAAGAATATCTCTTGAATGATAGTACAAATTTTGTCAAAATTTGCTAGTTAAGTTGTCGAAAGTTGTCTGGAGAAAAAAACCACCCCGACTACAAACAATCGGTCAATTTTTTTGAAAATCAAAACAAAAGTTACCCCGAACAAAAATATTCCATAACTTTTTTTGCAAGTCCGAACAATCCATTTTTCACCTATGTAATACCATATGACGTGATTATCCTTTTGCATTCATGCTTTTAAAATACAAAGTGAATATGCAAAAACGCGAATTTCTCGGGGCATTTTGAATGAAATTTGCGCAAAAAACGTAATATTCAAACTGCGTTAGTTAGTTATTCTACAAACAAAAATTATGAATTGATTCGAGATTGCAATGAGTTGAACAAAATTTCTTTTAAAAAAGTTTTTTCAGGTTTACAGAAGCCCTAGTAATGGAAAATGGTGGATTCAGAAATTCTTCTTTTCCGAGTAGTTTTTGCTAGCACAGATAGAATAGTTTTTTATTATCCTAACTTTTAAAAATTAGGAACAGTCATGCGGAATTAATGTCAAGCAATAGATTTTGTAGAGGGATGATTTGGAATGCAATGACTTAGGACTGGTATCAATTTTATAACTTCAAGGTCAAAACTAACTTGGTATGAATTAATCATAAGAATACTTAGGACACGTATATGGGTATATGACTTTAGCTTTAGGGAGAGTACTATCTTTAACCCCCCGTAAATTAACGAAAAATGATCTTAGGTGAAATATGTTTTCAAATTTGAGCTCAGAACAACAATACCTTTCGAATGATAAAAGAAAATTCTGTCAAAAATGGCTAGCTAAGAGTCGAAATTTGTCTGAAGAAAAAAAAACCACCCAGAGTACAAATATTCCGTTACTTTTGTATCGAAGGTTGAAACAATAATGAATTATAATTGGTTATAATAGATCAAAATGGACTATTTTTGCTCAAAAATAATCGATTATAACGGCAAAATAAGCGATTTCCCGGTCTAAATTTTACATCTGTAATGGTTTATAATGGATTATTTTTGTCTGGGAATCGTTTATAATCGATTAGAATCCCTGGGCGCTCGGTGCGGTTTTTAATTTGGAACAATTTTGAGTGTGGAATAATTTTCCACGCAGTATTTACTCAAATTACTTTCTCAGGATTAAAATTCGCGCATGAAACAGTTCAAATTATTACCAATTTGCCAGTTTTGAGCCTTAGAAACCTAGCAAAATACAGAAATTGGCAAACTAGCAATAAACAGAGATCTGCTGCTACATAAATTGCTCTGAATCTGAAAAAAAATTGTTGCTATGGATGTCTCTTTCTGAAATAAAGTTGTTGCTATGGATGTCTCTCTCTCTTGAAGAAAGCTGTTGCTATGCTTTCTTGATTGTTTCTGCTCTTTTATGAAAAGTGTGAGATACAAATACGAGAGAAAGAACGATATCTGATGCAAATATGCATATTGCAGATTCACAGCTTATTAAAATTAAAATCAGTTTACTTTGCATAAACTTAACAAGAGTATCTTGATAAACTCAAAACCAAAATTTACAAGACTGATCGTATCAGTGGAAAGCTCTGAACGTTTTGACGGCCTTTTAATTTCTATGGAGTAGTGTCCGCTTTTGGAAAAATGATAAAGTTTATAAAAAAAACATTTTTTGGAG